TCGTGAAAATGTACTGAATACTCAGTGCGTGTGAAAACACTTGCAAAATATATTTGCAAGTTGTTCTCCAGTGGGACTCGAACCCACATTCTCCAGATCACTAGCCTGGCATCATGCCTTTAGACCACTGAACTTGCACCTGATGGCCAGGGTTGAATTCGGCCAAAGTAAGCAGCGAGTACTATTTTTGCAAGCGTTTTCACATGTACTGAGTATTCAGTACATTTTCACGACGGGTTGGACACAATTCCACCTATATGTTCTCTATTGATGTTGTCAATATTATAATATATATCATAGATTCATGAAATGCTTAATAGGCCCTAAACGATAACATGACTTGACCATAGTTGTTCTCAATATTCTTTGATTTTTTTAACAAAATATTTTTTAGATATTTCTGAGCGTTAATGCCGTACCGTATCTGTTTTAAAAAACCTCAGAACGTATAAGCATTCAGAGTTTCGCCTGAGTAGACCCCACTAGAGGCTCTGTCTCTATGTCCGATCAGGTGCATTTTTACAATTTTACCTAGGGCCCGGCAGTTATCTATGCCATAGTTACCAACCGTCACGCATCACTTCAAAGTGATATTGGATGAAACGCATTTTGCAGAAACACATGCGAGGTCATAAATCACGCATTTAGCACTTGCGTAATAACGAATTATCACAAAATCAGGGGAAAACGTATTTGAAATTAGAAGAAATTGGTTTTATTAAAAATATAAAAACGGTATACAGTTATTACACTTGAGTCATTAGGGAGCTTTCTTTATCTCGTTCGAGAATCAATTTACAGAGAAAATTTCTCCTTTCCGACCAAAACAACCCAGCCAACCACGCACTTGTAGAATCTAGTAGTCGCGAGCAGTCTTGCGAGTTTATTGTTACAACCAACCGTTTAAAATGTGACGGGAACCCGAAATTCCGCAGGGGTTCCGTAATAATACCGTATACACTCGCGTAGGTCCTATAAGGTGACCCGTGTATAAGACGACCCCCGAGTTTTAGAAGATTTTTGGTTGATACTTGTATGTCTGGCGTATAAGACGACTCCCTGTTTCATGGTGGGAATTCCTAATTTTTTAGTAGTAAGTATGGACGTTATAGGAGGTTATTAAATATGAAAGGTAAACAATGGGTATAATATGAAACAATTGTTTATATTATATTAATAATAAATAAATACTTTAAATAATAAAAATAAATAAATAAATAAAATATATTATTAAAAAGAAAATATGAATTTAAGTTGGTATGTGTGACGTATTGAAATTGAAAACAATAGAAAGGACGTGCGGCTTAAAAAGGTGTTATGTAGTTAATTAATTTTAGGAAGTGCGGTGTCGGTGTTTCAAAGGGATTAATTTAAATTAAACAATAGGTATAAAACAGTAGAAAGGATGTGCGGCTTAAAATAGGTGTTATGTAGTTAATTAATTTTAGGAAGTGCGGTGTCGGTGTTTCAAAAGGATTAATTTCAATTAAACAATAGATATAATACAATAGAAAGGATGTGCGGTGTCAATGATAGTATTAATTAATAGTTTGTATAGTAACGTGATATACGGGTGGTACGTCACGATAAGAAGGAATTCTATTGGATGAAAGATATTGGTCACTTACATCGCGGTGATAGTTTGAATAGCCCGGGTGAACATGAATAGATTGATGACGTTACATCGTGACAAGAGTGAATTCTATTGGATGAGAGATTTTGGTAACTAAGAAAATGCAGTGACTTGTTTTTGAATAGCCCAGGTAAACGTGAATAGGTTTATGACGTCTTGTATTCCATTTTAATTAAGATTACGTCCGATGAGTATAACGAAAAGCCGATAGATATGCGGTCACATGATGTCATGAGTGAAATTAACCAATGAAGGATATGTTAAATTGTTGTTAAATGCGGGGGTATTTTTTAATAATAGTGGTTAAAATAATATATAAAATAATGGTAGTAATAAAATGATAATGGAAAATAAAAATAGTAATAAAAATACTAATGATAATAGTAATAACACTGGTATAAATGTGTGTTTGTTGATGGTAGTGTAGGCTCTATAAAATAAGGAGACTTTTTAGGTATATATTTTTGAAAAAATAGCGTCATTTGAGGAAAAAATATAAGCATGGAAACTGAAAGAATTGCACGAGAAATCAATCCAGCGTTTGTAGCATATAAACTAGGTAATGATATGGAATAATTTATATAGAGGATGTGAACTGTAATTTTTTTCAAATATTGTGAAAAGATGTATAAAGCGTGCGATGAACAATTCGATTTCTATAGGCTCATGTAAAGAGCGATTTCTATTGGTTTAGATGTATCAATGAGCGCTGGTGACCCTATGGTTTGAATTAACCGCTTCTAACGTCAGGTAATGCCTTTATTTCTGTAGGGTATAAATTTAGAAGAAATTTGGGGTA